TCCTGCTGAGCCCCAGTGCTCCATTTGCAACCAGGCGCCCTCCTTGGTCTCTTCCCAGCCCCCCAAGGAGCTTTCTGTGGAAAGAGGAGATGGCTGCAGCCCGGGTGAGTCAGCCGGATGGGGGGAAGTGGGAGGCCGAAAGGGTTGAGAGGCATACACAGAGGGCGTGCTTCCCCACCCAAAGCCTCTGGCCGCCGTCCAGAACCTTTAAGCCACGCGGGAAAAGAGACGCAGCAGAGCCTCTTTATTTCCTCGTGTGCCCAGGCAGCGGATCCTCCAGCTGCAAGGCCTGCGATCTGCAGTACCTCCGGGAAGAGGAGGAAGAGGAGGGAGGCAGCCCAGCCGCCACCCCGGCTGCAGAGGAGAAACCCTACAAATGCCATTTCTGCAGCTCTGCTTTCCGTTACAAAGGGAACCTCGCCAGCCATCGATCCCTGCACACAGGTAGGCGGTGCGCGCAAGTGTGCGCAGGCACACAGGCGTGCCCTAAAAGCAAAGGGTATGAATGGGCTGCATGGGGAAGGACCGAGTGCCCTCTTCCCAGGCTGGGGGGGGGTCTCTTTGGGGTGGCCCCTAATCTTGGACATCCTCGCCCCTGGTGTGGCTGAATTTGAGCAACACACTTAACCAGGTCACCCAGTATGCTAAACCTGGTTGCTTTTAACCTCATTCGTGGTCCTTTCCTGTGCATGCAAACCCACGTGGGTTGCATGGGGTTCCTGAAGGATTTCGCGTGCTCCACCTGATTTTGGCCTTAACGCATTTACTGGATCTGCCGAATGCACGGAACTCGCACGCATTCGTTGAGGATGACCGGAATGGCAGCCTTACACGTCTAGATGGGCCGAGAAAGGGTGCGCAGAGCAAAGGGCCAACCTGTGGGTTTGGTGCCCCAGACCTGAGCCTGGCCTCACCCTACAATCTCTTCCTGCAATCAGGAGAGAAGCCCTACCACTGTGGGATCTGCGGGGCCCAGTTTAACCGGCCGGCTAATCTCAAGACGCACCTGCGCATTCATTCAGGAGAGAAGCCCTACAAGTGTGAGACTTGTGGCTCTTGTTTCGTGCAGGTAAGGAGAAGTCAGGGAACATCGTGGGGCTCATGCCCAGCAGGTGTGCCGGGGGTCAAAAAAGTCAAGATGGTGGCCATGACCATAACCCTCCCACTTTTTATGTGCAAGGCATATGGTGGGGCCCACTATCTTGACATTTTTGCCCTCCCCCCGAGTTGTGTCAGTTGTTGGCAACCCAGGTTCAAAATTGTGTTCCTTGCATTTATTTAAAAGTGCAGTTCAGCCTATCCTGGAGGTGGAACCTGATAATTGACAAGCAAAATAGTTTACAAAAATGACATCATTTGCAAAATGATAGTTTATAAACACAAGAACATGGAAACATCAGGATTGGCCAGTGGGTCAAAAGCAAGGCCTGTCTTAGCCAGCATCCTGCTTTTCAAGGTGGTCCAATCTGCTATGGAGTGGCCATCAGAGCTAGACTGCCTCTGATGGTGGAGGCTCCACTCATCAGGGTTGCACAACTAAAGGCAGAGGCCTGCACCAGCTATAGCAAGAGGTGAATTTTCATGCGCTCAGCTTTAAGATGAGGCAGCAACAGGAATTCATGGTGGGCAAGACTCCTGGTGCCTGGGAGTGACCGGGTTTCTACAGTCCTCCAGCCCTAGAGGCCGGGGGCTCTGGATCCCAGCATTGCGGGAAGGGGCAACAAGTCTCTTGTCTTCCTTGGGTCTGATCCATTTGAAGGCCCCCCCAACACAATCCCACATTCCTCAAGAGAAGCAGAATTCTGCATCATGTTGATGGAAGATGAGATGATTGTTCCCAACTCAGGCTGCCTTCGCACAACGGCTTTCTCCTGCTTACTGGGTTAACCCAGTTCTGGTTAGGGTTAACCGTAGTTTGCCTTTGGGTAGCTTAGCCTGGTGTGCAAAACCATCCCCTGGCCTGTGCTTCAGGTTCAGCCCGCCATAAACTCAGCAAGCGGGCTGGCCTTGCACGGGAAGTCCTCCAAGCCTGACACTAACCGACCTAGCCCGTGGTACAAACGCGCACACACGCATACCCCGTCGTAGTCAGTCGTGAGCTGAGGACAAGGACGTGGCTTCCTCTGGATGGCCCTCCCTCCCTTCCAGGTCGCCCACCTCCGAGCCCATGTCCTGATCCACACGGGAGAGAAGCCGTACCCATGTGGGACCTGTGGGACACGCTTCCGGCACCTGCAGACCCTCAAAAGCCACGTCCGCATCCACACCGGAGAGAAGCCTTACCATGTGAGCGGCGAGAGGGAGCATTTGCGGGGGGGGGGGGAGTTGTTCTTTTCTTCTGTGCTCAAGCCTGCGGGGAGGGGCATCTTTCCCCTGGGGAGGGCAGCTGCCCCACTGAGGACTTGGAGAGGTGGGCAGAGAGGACCCCTTCATCCTCTGGAAGAGGTTGTGTGAACTGGGCGAGGGTGGATCCAGAGCTCCTCATTACCCCACATGGTTGAGAGGAAGGTGGGCTTTTCTAGTGGGGTGGGGCACAAATGGAGAAGGGTGGAGGGTTAAGAATCCGTTGGGGCAAATGGACGTAGCTCAGGGTTCAGTTGTGGGGTTCCTGGGGTCTTGCTTCTTGGAGACGTCTCACTACCGGCCTAAGTAACATCATCAGGGCTCTGAGATGAGGAGGTGAATGGTTCAGTATCACTTTAGACCAGTGTTTCTCGACCTCAGCCAGTTTAAGCTGTGCGGACTTCAACTCCCAGAATTCCCCAGCCAGCATGGAATTCTGGGAGTTGAAGTCCGTACAGCTTAAAGTGGCTGAGGTTGAGAAACTGCTTTAGACACTCCAGAGTTTCTGAGGTTGGTAGATGGGCCAGTATGACGGAGCGCAAGACTGGCATCTTTATGGCATGGCTGGAGTTGGCGGGTGGTTACAGACCGGCTGGGCACCAGCAGGAATTCCCTTTCCTGCAATTAAGGTGCACAATGACCCCTCGTACCCGAAGGGAGGTTTCAACCAGGAGCTCTATCTCACTCGCATGCGTGCAGCCTCACGAGGGTCAGAGGCATCCCATCGGTTGCCCTCTTCACACGTCCGGAAGGCGCTGGGTGGGAGACGGGGCCCTTCGCAGATCCACTGGGGATGCCCAGAGCCTCCCCTTTGCCTACTCAGAACGGTGGCCGGGGGAAATGCCAGCTTTGCATTGCTTTGCCGCCCCCAGGTGCAAATACTTCCTGACCCGTGCTCCTCTCTTCCCGGCAGTGTGAGAAATGCAGCGTGCGCTTCCGCCATAAGAGCCAGCTACGGCTTCACCTGCGGCAGAAGCACGGCGCCATCACCAACACCAAGATCCGCTACCAAGTGCTGGACGGCCCGTACGCCACCCTCTGCTGAGATCCCGGCTGCCAGCTTCCGGGCCGGGCAGGGAGCCGAGGCTCCGTCTTTTGGGAGCCGAGAAGTTGGCCTTTGGACCTCCGTTTTCGATGTTCAACCTTTGCAAGACCGGGGTGGGCTTTCGGCCATTGCTCGGCCAGCGGCATTTGGACTTTGGCTGGCTCTGCGTTCCAAAATGTTGACGTTTCGGCTCGTTTGGAAGGTTCGCATTGAAATCGGAGGCCCGTTCGGTTTTATGCTTCCAGAAGGTGGGGAGCAGAGAGAGAGAGACAGGGCAAAGAGTCGCGGGGGGCAAAAAGACCCCGTTCCCATTACTCATGGCAGAGCCGCCCCCCCACTCACCAGAGTACCTTCCCCTATTCTTGGTCCTTCCAGCTGGGACTACAATTCCCATCATCCCATTGCTGGCTGGGGGGATGATGGGAATCACAGCCTAACATTGCTGGGGGAGGCTGTCCGGGAATTACCCCCCCCCGGCCCCCAGTCTTTACCTCCCTCTCTAGAGAACAAAGAGGGTTTTGAAAGATGCCCAATTCTGCAGGCAGAGCTAAAAACTCA